CTTACTTGTTATTTTGACATGTGAAGATATCATGTTTTCGAACACAAACTCACCCAATATTTCATTGGCGTTTATAAAAATATGATAAAAAAGCATATTTCTTTCATTTTTCTGAACTGGGCCCTCATGGAAGAGATCTAGAATCATCCAGCTTCAATTTCTGTCTACAGCTGGTTGATGTGTGAAGTGACCAGCACTGATTTATGTAATGTTTTATATAGCTTTTTATCACTTAATGTTTTTTACTTAGTATTTTTTAAAACAAATAATAATTCAATATTGCTCAGGTTTAAAACTTCAGTTGTTCAATAACTTCATACATTTTGTATCCATGTAATGTCAGTTTCAATGTTATGCCTACCGCCTACCGGTATGTTTCTTTTAATAATTCTACTCAAGTGTAGCTCATATTATAGTTACCATTAAAGAACGAAGCATATACTTGTGTACTGTCCTCGTTTCGTAGGGCTTTTGCCCCGTTTCATAGCTTTACCGTGCTTGTTTTGACTCGTGGCTTTAAGCGTGCCAGTCCGTCTCGAATAAAGGGCCCGGGGGACCCGGGGTTTCGACTCGTGGCCTTAAGAACGCGTTATGCCATTCGCGTAGCGTGCTCGTTACGGTTCATTGCTTTAAGAACGAGTTATATTTTTTGTGTAGCGTGCTTCTTTTGACTCATGGCTTTAAGAGCGACTTATGTGTACCGACGTCCGTGCTTGTTTCGACTCATGGCTTTAAGAACGACTTCTGTTGCCTGTTAGGCTTGCCATTCTCGACTTAGGGTTTAAAGAACGAGTTATGTTACACGTGCAGTGTGCTTGTTTTGACTCATGGCACGACTAGACTTCCTGAGATTCCATCGGAATCGATGTGTTTCCAATGGATCCGATGGACTCCATCGGACGACTTTCCAACCCTCCTCTAAGTATTGTTTACACTTCCGGTTTCATCTCATGACTAAACTTCCGGTAACTCAAGTGGACTCTACTGAACTTCCGGTTTCATTTTTCGACTAGACTCCGTCGGAATCCAGGTTTTGTCCACTGGAATCTGGTCGAGAGTATTGGACATGTGTGGAGGGACTGAGTCAAAGTAATTTCCACTGAAGATTGGAGGTGGTATCAGTGCGGCAACCTTTATGAAAACTGTCCCAATTTTAGAGAAAAATAACTCATTTTACTCGCAGAACCAATTCCCTACTTCAGAAACTCTAGGGAGAACGGGTACAAGTCTTTGGCGCAGTAATTTTTGGGTTTTCTTGGTGGACAAGCGCTAGTTAAGATTGGTCGACGGTATTCAAGAAATCAAAGGTAACTTTTGTGCTCCCTCAAAGATTCCAGAAATCGTTGCATCGAATGCTTGTATCCATTTCCATTATAGTATCAGGAATGGTAGCCTGGGGGGAGCACAAACAGCTATTTTCTTAGCCTGCGTGGCAGGCGCAAATAGGGGAGGGGGAGAGGAGAGGGATAAAAGCGCGAAAGAGGGGAAAAGGAAAGGGAGCTTACCCTCTCTCTCTAATCCTTCTCTCTTTTTCCCTTCCTCCCTATCCCTACCCCTTTCGACGCCTGCTACGCAGGCTACTATTTTCTCGGCGGGTAAAGCAAGAGTCGAAAAAAGTGTCTGCTTCCCGCAGGCTACTGGATTGGGAATACAGGAAGAGGTTTGCTGCGATTGGCTAAATGCTTTCAACAAGAGCGTTTAACAAGAAAATGACTCTGAACTAACGTCAGTATATTGCTCTATTAAAGCGGACACGGATAAGGCAGTGATCATAGTGATTTAATTTAAAAAAAACGGTGAGAGTTAATTCACAAGAGAACAAAGAATGTGACTGTTTGGTATAACAGAAATGTGATATAGTGAGAATCAGTTATAATAACTTAGAAAATACTATGGATAGTATAAATAGTTTCACCACATTCTGGTAAAAGTCAACCTTGCATTACATGGGTTGTCACGCTTTCGCCAATTGACCACTCCAGGAAATACCATAACATACCATCATGCTCTTTGTTTTTCACCCCCAAATTTTGCGTAAGCATTGTTTTCACTTTCTCTTAGGAGTTGAAATGGCCCCAAGAAAAACTGAAAACAATGTGCAAAATCTGGAGGTGACCAACAAAGAAGATTATAGTATGTTATGGTATTTTCTAGAGTGGTCAATTTAGAAACAAGAGGGGCTCTGGTGCCTAAATTGTCCCGCAATTGTTTCTGTGATCGTTACTGGTGACGCACCGAGCAGGTTATTAGGGATTTTAAGCAAAGCCGTTTTTTTGAGAGATGCACGTCAAACGGAAGTAAGGGCTTTTTTCTTTTATTATGCCTTGACGCTATAAAATTTGTATTGCTTAGTTTCTTTACACTTGTAGAGACGTTTTGACTGAAAATCTGGGCAAGACCACTGCTCAGGAATGTAAAACGTCCACTTCCGGTTGACGTGCGTCGCTGAAAAGTTCCCTATTGGCCAATATTTTTCTCTGTCCAAAGTAACAGTCCCAGAAGTCTTTGCGAAAGTTAACTCGACATCCGGGCATCCCCGGGTTTTGGCCATCCCCATTCCCAAAACCCTAGTGATATAGACATTCCCTATAACCCTAACCCAAATCGCTAAGGTAATATGAGAAGGGGATGCCCATATTACTAGGGTTTTGGGAATGGGGATGCCAAAAACGCCAGGATGCCCATATCACTGTGACACCGGATTGCTAACACAGAAAGGAAAGCATGACTTAAACGGCGAACAACCATGTACCGTAACTGTAATTAAAGAGGTGTACTCCTCCAAATGTTGACCTCCAACTTTTCATTTATCTATGTGGTTAGCCTAAAATCTTCCCCTTTCCCGCTGGAATTATTTAAAACATATTAACAACTTCTGCACTGCTGTGTTGTTAGAGTCTTAACCACGTTTAAGAATACTCCAAATTTCTTACAATTTGGACTCAAATGCAGAAAGGACAATTTTAATTTTTGATTTCTTTCAATTACTTTTACACCTTCAGTTTACAATTTACAATTTAATTTTGAAAACGAATTAACAAAAGAAGCTACAAGGCCATCGCCTAACTTTCTGACTAGGATTTGACTGCAGCGTTAATCAAACAGCCAAAATCCTGCACTTATTAAGCTAACAAGGGGCTGTGGATTTATGTTGTTTGCCTGTTGCAAACCAAGAGGACAAAACAGGTTAACTAATTAAATACAAGAACATTAGTTAAGTGTAGTTTCGGGGCCTGAGTTTCTGTTAATTTAGACTGTTCACAGTCCTCTACTTTTTCGTGAGATCGTCGAGATATAGTGCGTCTTACAGTCAATGGCGGCCATCTTGATTTTCAAATGTACCGAGGGGGCGGGCGTCGGGGATTATAGCTTTAGGGGGAGTTTTAACACTCATGCAAGATGGCAGCCCGTAACGCAAAGCGTTCGATCTCGACGATCTTACGGAAAAATAGAGGACTGTGAACAGTCTACTGTTAATTAAATTGCACACCCGCCCAACCGCTCTGTCTATAGTCAAGCGTAACATTGAAAACACTGAATTTCTATCTTTCCTTGCTATGACGGATTACGCGGAAGTGCAAAATCTAAAGTATTGTGGATTTCTACAGTTTGGAATAAACGAATGTGTCCCTGTTAGGGTGGTGTCATCTAAGTCCGAGATATCAAGGCTAATTTTCAAGGTCACTCTGCAATCAGGAGAACGCTTAAGCTCCTTCAATAAAAATAACCATGATAACCGTTAAGGTGAAATAAGGTTAAATGCAGGTTTCCACGGCGCCTGTAAGCGTATAAACTCAAGTCTCGTCGTCGTAGTCGTCCTCGTCCCCGAATCTATAGGCCTTTTTTAATTTATTGCAATTCCCGCCTTTTGAATTGAACACCTGTAGCCTGAAAAGCAGGCTCAAAAAGGTGAGGGGGAGGGGGAGGCGGAGAGGGAGACAATCGCAAAGGGGAAAAGGGACCCTCTACCCTCTCTTCCCAACCCACCTCCCTTTTTCTCTTCACTCCAATCCCCTACCCCTTTCGACACCTTCTACGCAGGCTAAACAACTGGGGCCTGGAGTAGACAGAACAAGGAGGCCATTTTAGTTTATTACAAAAATTTGTTCATCAAAAAAGTACCAATTTTTAAATGCGCCAAATCCTTCAATGTTTTACATCGTAGATCAAGTAACCCATCACAGCTAAAACAGGTTGTGATCGCGAGTCGGTTACTTCTGAAGAATATGTTCACACTATACAAGATAGCTCTTGAACCGGCACGAAAACCATACTGCTGATACCGGATAGGGTTTCTATTTACACATAGAACAGTGCTGTCGGCGCGATTCCTGTAAGTTGCACCACGCCGATCTCGAACGTGGAGCGTTTCATATCGTATAGGTTCTGTGCCACACTAAGGTGCAGTGTGAACAGGTATCCGAACAGTAGCGGAAGTGAATAAGTAAGAGCGAGAGCTGCAACCCACTGAGACCAGGCGCGTAGATGGGGTTTGAAAAAAGGGTGTTCATACTGATACGAATATTTCTTCAGTAAGAGCAGGAAATACTGCGAGCTCCAAAGGTGCGAGCCCCTAGGGGTTTCTTGGAGCAAATTGCTCTCCCAGAAAATGTTGAAATTTAGTAGACTGGAAATGCTATTTTCAGTAGTCTCCACGTGAGTATCTCAAACTCGATCCTACGCGCCTGTGAGACGGAAGTAAATACAGTGAAGACTGGGATTTAGTTCACCACAACCCTGCCAACCGCTCAGGCACGAGCTTGAGGTTTAATGTGTGTGAACGACTTGTTCCAGTTTTGTGCCATTGCTGTTCATATTATATTGGGTAGCCATCCGGTATAGTGTGAAAACAGCCTAAATCAAGTTGCGTTAAGTTGTCAAAAATGAGGACAGTATTGCTAGGCCACTATATGATCATTGTCTTTACAGTCATTATTCCCCACTGCTGTACAGAATTTTAGAATCCCTCCCTTCTTTTCTCGTTATGGTTATTCCCCTTTTTAGCATTGAGAGGAACGGAAAATCAAAACTGGTATTTGACCCATCGACTGGCTAGAAGAGTTTGAGTCTTTTGAGGATTTAGACTTGAAGTTTACCGTGACCCCAGAACACGACGCACTTGCCACGCCATCCGTGTGGGCAAAAGACTGTTTACTTGTAACTATTCTTGCTGTTGCAGTGTATGTGACACCAGCGCGGATCGAAATCACTTGGGAAAAATGCACCTCAAATGTCTTGACACTGGAACTGGTAGCATAGGACCCAGTCTTTTCTGCGATCAAGTTGCTTCCAAGGTACAAGCGAATGGTGACCTGGAAACTAGTTGAACCGCTCCTGACTCCCCATAGACGGTAACCTGACAAAATGACGTCACCATTTGTCTGGAAATCGATTGCGTCAACGTTTCCACTGCCACTGGGATCATTAGAGTATCCCCAGCTTGTGCCAGGACTTCTGGACCGGCTGCGCCAGCAGTCACAGTTAGCTAGGAGGAAAAACAATGATCTAATCACGTGACCAACTATTCCTAATGTTTGTTTGTTTTGACGAAAGAAAGGGTAGAGAGACCCAGGTTTTTCAGCCTTAAGGAACCATTTTTTAAACGTTGTCTAAATTACTCTGCCAAGGTCTGTTGAATCTGCTTACTGGGAGTGAAGGAGCACGATATCCTTGCTTTAAAAACCAGATCGTCGTTGCGCGAACAAATCCTTTATGGTCCTTATTGGAGTAATTTTATGCTTCCTCATATTGTTGACAGTCTCTGGTACATACTTTGCAAGATGGATGTCGATTGTAGCATCTTTTTATGGTAGATAACATGCTCTGTTACAAACCTTATAAGGTTACTTAATGAGAACTAAAGAAACAAGGGACATAAGGAGGCTGTAATGTGCCGGCGCACAAGTGTGACTGCAAGTGTAAGTGCAAGTGTAAAGGTGCAGTGTGCGATGACGTCATTTTCGTGTCACATTCTTTTAGATCAAAGTGTAACAATTTTTCAGAATTCCTTTCTTTATCCCCCACGTTTAATGAAGCTTAGTTAATTGTGGCTCACTTAATCGGGTTTTTTTTATTCTTTACATGAGTTTAGGTTTAGTTTAGTTGCCGGCTCGTGTCACTTTTCGCGCCTTCGTTAGCGTCTCTTTGTATCTTTTTCATCTTCATTAGAGTCTTTTCGTCACTTTTGTTTTCTGTACATTCAACCATGATTCAACTGTATTTTACACCGCAGTTCCTCTGTACAATGTTCAGTTTTGTTTTGGTCTGCGTTAAGTGCAGTTCTCCTCATTGCCTTTCTACGTTCCTTCGCGTTTTACGCAGTCCGCTAACGCAGCAGTTTTCCTTGGCCGTAACGATGTAAGTGTGTTTCACAGTGCTCGCTTTGTCGTAGTTTTGTTGTTTCTTTATGTCAAATTTTCGTTTGTAGCAACATGTATTTTTTTTTTGCCAGGCAAATTTTAGCCATGCACCTCACTGAATCAAATAAAATAATCTTCATTTGTTCAGTGGATTTGGTTTGTGGTGTTGGTATTTCTGGCCACCAGAGTTCTTCACTTCTTGCAGTTTCACACGGACCTATTCAAAAATTTATTTTAATTTATAAAAAAATAACTGGTATCGATACGCTCAAACATTGCCAAAGCTTAGGTCCGAGGATTTTATGAGATACCCTGAATGACTATTTTTAATATGAAGGCCACCCAAAGAATAAATAGAGAACTTTAAATTCTAATTAGAGAGCTTTAGATTCGAGGACGAGGACGACTAGGAGTACGAGATTTGACTTAAAGTTTTTTCACTTATTCTTAATATATAGACTCCCCGGAAACTTCATTTTACCATTTTTCCCCAGAAAAGTTAGCACTCTTATCTTTAGAGAAGGCGGTTACACCCTCTCCCGATCGCAAAATTATCAAACTTCTAACATTTGATATCTTGTTTCCGCCACTTCGACATTTGTGCAAAAACTCGTAGTAAGAGTGACTACGGCTACCACGTTTTCCCGTCAAAATGACGCTGGTTCACGCGCGAGCACTACTTAGTACTGAGAAAATCTCGAAAATCGCGATTGGGAGAGGGCTTTACCTCCTTCAACGGAAATAAACGAACTAACTTTTGTGGTGAAAAAAGTAAATATGATGCTTTCCGGGTGTTATTTTTTTATAGAATAGGCGAGAAAAATTAAATGTCGTCCTCTTCCTCGAATCAAAAGCTCCCTAATAACACACATTTTGAGGCGTCAAAAACGCTTCGCGGGAAGAGATTGAAGGGTAAGCGTTAACTCGTTTACAATGCTGAGTTGATGACGGAAAAACCTTGAAAATCGGGTCATTACTCAGTAGTGTTCTCCTCTCTCGTAATACGACTCTATAAACGAAACGGCTGAGCGTTTTAGCACAAAAACTTGAGAAATCTATTTAAGCCATCCTGCTTCCCTTTTAGAGTTAGAGTTTAGTTTCTCCAGGTATGAAGGTGTGAGACAAAAATGACGTCATTGCAAACAATACCGCACGCCTGCAGCTGCAGGTGAAATATTACGTCATCGGATACTGCCCCCACACACCTGCAACTGCAGTTGTACACCTGGAGGCTCAGTAGCAAATTTAGGGGTATCTTAGTCTGTTGAATACATCATGCAGTTAATTTCAGTTTTGCAAGCGTAGACTTTAAAGTCTAATTTGCCTGTCTGAACATGGTGAAGTGCTAATCATTCAGTAGAATGTTTTATCATGATATATAAGGTCGACATAACATGCTTAATACAAACCTACGGCCACGACCAAGTTCATCGTGGCCTTCTTGGTTCCTAAGCTGTTTGTTGCTACTCATTGGTACAAACCGCTGTCCACTGGTCTTAAATTCCTGATAGTAAGTTAACCTTCCTTAACTTCGGTTTTTCCAGCAGGTAAAGGCATAACAAGTCTGATCCACGTCAACTTGGGATGTGGATACCCTTCTGCCTGGCAAGTTTCTTGTATTTGAGAGAATTCCATTTTTGAGACCAGTGATGAGGGTTTTTTGGTAAAGATCGGAAGACCTAAGAGACGAATAATCAATATGATGTGGCTTGCAAAAGCCATAGTTTTTACCAGTATTCCAAACTACACAGAATGGGCGGCATTCACTTAAAGAAATATCTATGTGAGTTTTACCGCGTCCAGTAGACACCACATGTGTTAGACGTGAAAATGACATTCAAGTGGTGCAACTCGTACGAATAATTGTGCGATAAATGCCAGCTCACTAGTTTCAGGACTTGCACGAGTCTGACAAGTTGAACTAAAGTTCCATATAAAGGGGGTGGGGATGCTTGTTGTTTCGTTTGTTTAGGTAAATTGAAGATTCTGGTATCATCCACTGTGTTCAGTACGAAACGCCAAAATTTTTATCTATTCAGGGTGTAGGTTGGAGTGATGTTTGAACAAATACCGGAAATCCTCTTTGAAGAATAAGACCCCCCCTCTTTTCAGGGGAGGAAAGTTAATAAGCCCCCTCCCCTCCCCCTTATTATTGTCCACTAAAAAATGATAGACTCTTTTAATCAAAGGTATGGAAAGCAAGGTTCCGATAAATCGGTTCCTGAGGAAAAATGGTAAGAGTAGAGAGTCAGCAAGAAATATTCCTAAAATCTCTTATTTCACTATCTGACTTGACAAATTAAGCTTGAACTACGTTCTGATGGATCTCCTGCAAGAGTTTAATTCTAGCCGTTGCTTACGATTATCACACACCCTTTTAACACACACCATCATCCTTTTTATAGTGGTAGTCGCCCTCCTTGACTTATATGCTCCCTCAATAGCAATGTAACAAGACCCAATTGCAAAACACGTTTAGTAAGATAAGCAATCAGCCAGGAAACATGGCCCACCCCTGACGTTGGTAAGATTCTGATGGCTCATCAGCGGCCTTGCAGAAGGGTTTTCAATTTTCAAAGTAGTAAAGCTTATTGTACTTCTTACCTCGAACCTTCAAATTACCAGACGCCTCAGACGATCCAAGAATGTTTCTTGCCGCACATTTGTACTGCCCAACATCACTGTAATTCAGATTCCTCATGATCAGCTCTGCTTTTTTAACCAAATACTTTGCTCCCGACAGAAGCTTTCTGTCCTTGAATTGCCATTCGACAGTAGGAGTAGGGTTTCCTCCAACCGTACAATAAATCGCAGTATTTCTTCCTTCATCTCTAGTGTGATTTGCAGGTGATACCGTCACTTGTGGAGCAGATATCGATTCTCCAGGCCTCCCAGGTGGTCCTGGAATTCCTGGTTCGCCTTTGTCACCCTTTTCTCCCCTAGATCCTGGAAGTCCAGCCATTCCTTATTTTTCAGGTGGTCCAAAGCTACCTGGGTTACCTTTCTTTCCCCTAGGTCCCCTCCTACCACGTGGTCCTTGTGAACCGATGGGACCAGGAAGTCCGGGGGGACCTGCAGGGCATAAACTCTCTTGTGACTTACAGTACTTGGAGGGCACTAGTTGTTCAATCTGTTTGGTGATTTCTTGACGCAAGTCATTCATATTGATGGTTGCTGAGGTCACGTTCAAAACTTGTCTCCGGTTTTTTGACTTTGCGCTTGTTCTTGAATCTTCTGACTCATCTGATAAAGCTAAGGGAAAAGCAAACTAAGTGCTGAGAAAATTTCCGCTGATATGATTGAGTCTTCGTTGGCACGAAATTCCACCGTCTTGTTTTCTTTAACGTTTGTAGCCCAACCACCACTTAAAAGCATTTTTTTTTATGTCGTTTGCAGATTAAAATTCAAATTTGAGTGTAAAATTCATGACTTGATTGGATCTCATTTTCTCAAAGCCTCTGAAAACCCAGCCAAAATTTCCCTGTACATTATTTGAGGACGAATTCGAAGGATCAATTTAAGAGCAAGTGATTTTCTTATGTGGCTGAGGATATAAGTTCCTCATTTCCCCATTTTTGAGTCAAAGTATAGACCTCTTTCATAATTGCGGCCTATTAATACATTCTTTTATCCGTCTGATAATTAGTCTTTCTGGCCTCGTTTGAAATTCAGAATTCTTTTGTATTTTGCACATGCTAACAAGGTCAGAAAGGCTAATTTTCATATATGTAAAAGCATATATATTAATAGGCCGCAATTATGATAAATAGCTCTATGCGGAAATAAAACTATAATTAACCTTGTCATGGTATCATTAGTCATCTTGTCAAAGAATCAAATTGAATCTAAAGAAAAACAAATTTAACAAAAAAAAGTTTAATCTTGAAAAGATTTGACCCATCCGTTCAAAAAGCAATCCGCTGACTACCGCAAAACCCGAAAACATGAAAAAAGAAAAAAAATGAAACAGAACAAATTTTAGCTGTTCAGAGTAATAAAAAACTGCATGTATAGCTTTCCTTTTTGCGTAAAGGCTACAAGAGGCATCCTAATTCGGAAATATTCAGTCTGTCCGAACTGATTTGAGATTGGTTGATCAAAGTTGGCCTGATTGCAAGATTTTCAGTTCTTTAACGGAGGATACTTCATATTATTTTAATAAATTGTCTGCTTAACTTTTCTTTTACCTTTTGTTTAGAACCAAGAGACTATAAAGGGGACAGAGAGGGCATCCCCCATATACACCCTATTCCATAGGTAATTCGTCTCGAGTTATTTTTAACACCACATATCTCAAGGGGGATTAGACAACAGCCAATCACATAGCGCGAATGTGTTCCGCGTGGATGACCCACGCTGAGAGCCACGCGTCCTTCACGAAATGACGCAGAACAAAATGGGGGAAGACGCGGAGAGCGATTTTGCTATTCCTTTTGTCGACGAAAACGACTATAGCGAGATTTCTGCGAAAGCTGTGTCAACGAAACCGAAATTAAAAAAGAATCGCCCTTCCTCTCTTGTATAGAGCTAACAGAAGAGCAGGAAAATCCTTAACACACTGAATATTCTCTCAGGATCATTGATAATTTACATTTTGAAGAGAGCAATTTCTGATGTTTATTTTTTTCAGTCTTTATAGCGATTATTCCTACCCACTTACTTTGTCAATTGTAGGCGAACCCTCCTAAAGCTGAATTTCAAGGGACCATATTCAAGCTCAGAAAGAGAAATAAAATTTCGTCGTTTCTTATTTACGTCCTCCATAAAACGCGAAATTAGGCATTTTCACGTCGTAGTCGTGCAAAAACGGGAAAGAAATGAACAAAAAAGTGTGTTGCTCGTGCGAAGTTGTTGTTTTGCTGATTAAACCTATTGTTTTTTTGACGTTCTAGTTGTTGTCCGCGTCGTTGGATCTTAAACTCCCTAAATTGTACAAACGACCGGTTTCAATAGCTATAGACCGGCGAAATTTCTCATTTTATTAAAGCACTGAAGTTACGACAACTTCGAGTTAAACTGATTTCACGGGTTGTCAAAGAGTCCAGCGATTCCTTTTTCCCAGGTGAGCGCCGACTCATTTCGCTTCAATATTCAGGAATGCTCTCGATCTTTTTACGCTTTCATTGCCTCTCGCCCGACATGTTTTGCACGGCGTTTGGTCATGCGAAACCTCCACGAAACACCACGCCTCGCGCGAGGTAACTTTATCCCGATTCTAAAAATAACTCGAGTCGAATTACCTATGGAATAGGGTGTATATGGGGGATGCCCTCTCTGTCCCCTTTACAGTCTCTTGTTAGAACCTATTAGCATATCGTTATTATCCACTTCAATAGCAATATAATATATAGATTTAGCCAGGGCTAAAAGCGAGGCTCCCATTAGTAAATTTATAATTTAAATTAAACAATAAACTTGTATTCGAATTCCACAATTCAGTTAACTTTAGAGCACATTTATGTGACTTTTGAGGGAAAGGCTACCTGATTTTAGAGAAAAATAATTTGCAAACAGCCCAAGAGTGAACCAAATCTTACATCGAGTTGATAGCCTCATATGTACACTCAAAAACTGGTAATCATCTTTTATCACATTTAAGAGCCGTAATGGCTATTGATCACCGTAGATCAATTAGGCTTAGAAAAAAAACCAGGCCAACGTTTTGGCGTTCGACAAGTTTACTTTTGCAAAATCTTGCCAACAAATCTGGGTGCGTGTAAACCAACCTTTTATACCATGGACAGAAAGCAGTATTTCACAATACAAATTGCTCTCATTCAATATTCATAAACTGTTAAAAAAATTTTCCAAAATCACCTATACGGCCATCCGGTTCTCACTTTTGTAGTGCGAGCTGTAGCGAGTGTTTGAATGAACATTAACAGAGTTACGCTCCAAGATAATAAAGAATTTATCATGTTTATTTTTTATTTGATGGTTTAACGCGCGGCATTTTGAGAACTCCTGCAAGCGATGTTCACTGAACGACTGAAAACAATCGGCATAGCGATTAAAATTGCAAGAGAGACTACTAACAATCAATAAAAGAAATATAATTCGGTGAAACATAAACAGAGACAACAATTTTCATTCAGGAAGACAAGTATTAAAGTGTCCCTAAATATCCTGAATCTTCAAGCT